GTGGCCATTCGGCTTCTTCCGTCTGAAAAGTTCTTCATTTGTGGCCAATCGGCTTCTTCCGTCTGAAAAGTTCCTCATCGGTGGCCAATCGGCTTCTTCCGTTTGAAAAGTTCTTCATCTGTGGCCAATCGGCTTCTTCCGTTTAATCATTACCGAATCTGTGGCCTCGTATTGTAACTGAGTATTTCCAACAGGAGAACATAACCACATTACCATGGACAGCACGCAGCCCAGAATTGTCACTTATCGAACATGTCTGCATTGTCTGGGACACTGGCCATGGAGCCGCATACGTCACCCTCACCAAACACCGACCAGTTTCAACGAACTTGGCGCTGCTCTGCAGGAAGAATGGAAGAATCTGACGTCCAACGACCAGGGCAAATCTCATCCCGAAGCCCCTGATACTCTTCTAAGCTATTGTTCCCATTAAAGATATGCAATAGTTGCGACACCTATTTACTGAATATATTTTTACCTAGTTTTACAGGTGTAAATATCACATAGCTCATGCCTGGTTTATGTACCTTAAATGTTTTGTGTTTTGTTGTCCTGTTTTGTTTCAGTGTTATATAACAAAGAACTGCGATCAAATTTCTGAAAATATAATGCCGTATCAACAGCAACAGCAGCAACTTCAGCCTCATAATCGTCGGGGATGTGTTGGCCCAGTAGGGATAGTGCAAACACGCATTATCTACGTACAGTGCCCTGGGTAGACCACGTGCCCCCGAGGATATCATTCCCACCAGCGTTATACCACAAGTGAGTGAGTGAGTTTAGTTTTACGTCTGTTTAGCAATATTCCAGCAATTTCACGGCGGGGTACACCAAAAATGGCTTGACACATTGTACCCATGTTGGTAATCGAACCCAGGTCTTCGGCGAGCGTACGCTTTAACCATTAGGCTACCCCACCGCCTCTCCTACCAACACACGTTAAACGATGGCACGTTATCGCCCGGCGGCGATATTGAGGGATGTATAATGACGGTGGCGGGGTGTGGTCCCGTGCAAAGATCATAGAACACACAGTCACAAATCAGTTGAATTTATGCAACTTTGAGAATCTTGGATGGTTTGACTCTTGAGCGTATTTAGGACTTCAGTCCTGTCCTACAACAAAGCACAAAGCAGGCATAAGTCTGGGGTAGTACAAGGAATCGTTGCGCACGTATGCGCAATGATCTTCTTTCTATCTCTATCTCGCACGCACGCACGCACGCACGCACGCACGCACACACACACGTATGGTACAGAAGTGCATTAATCTTGAACGCGACGTAAAGCCCAATTCACCGCTTCTCACCTTCACCAATTTGAAAGCAGTTCATGGAGCAATATTGGATTCGCCGAGAAAATTGCCAGCCACTTCACAATTTGTCAAATATTGATCAACAATGTATAGAATCACAGTCGTTTTTTATGTTTTAATCAAAATACTCAATCATGTCCATATTTGATTTCATTTTTTCACGAAGCAATAACCACACACGTCAGTAACCTCATCCAAGTGGTTCAACGAACAGACAAGTTTACGCATAAGAAAATCTTGTCTATATTGGCAGTAAGATTGATTCCCGGGCTATAAACCCGTTTTCTTCATGTTGTGTAAAGAATCTGCAGATGTTAATACAATGTTCATCTTTTACGTAATCCACATCGATACGGGGCTTCTGCAAGTTGCGTGTGAACGTTACTGGTAACTAACTGTGGCCTTTTCCATCACGACCCACCAGACACCGACATAACGCTTCAGTATCATCAAGAAGCACGCGATATGTACGGTAGGCCTGAGTTAGGTCCTGTTCAACAAAACGATCGAGGCGTTACGACAGACGTAAGTCTCTGCGCGGGGGTCGCTGTGTGGAACGTAACCAAGTATTGCAGCACCTTTGTCAAAATATATTCTTTGTAGTATCTCAAATGTCCCAGCAATGTAGACAAGCACCTGCTCATCAGCGTGACATCGGGTAACAAACGCGTGATGAGATCATCAAGAACAAACAAGAATTTCACATCCTGCAAGTTATATAATCTGCGAGTGTTGCTAAACTGAGGCAGTCCCAGAAGTACCTGACACCATTGTCTTCCGTCGATCCGTGCCAACAACAGGGAGTTTATAGCTTCCCCGCCAGTACTGGACCTACCAATAGACAAATCATTGTTGCGAGATCACTTCAGCAATGTTGTGACATCTACAGAGCACCCTCGGGCCTTGAGTAGCTGTACTTGTCACGAAACATACGTGACTTTTGGGTTTGGTCCAAGTTGCGTTCGCATATCCTACAGGCCTCTCTCACTGATATCCCCCGTGAAGATCCGGGTTAGAATATTGATCTTCAGTAACCCATGCTTGTTGTAAGAGGCGACTAACGGGATCGGGTGGTCAGGCTCGCTGACTTGGTTGACACATGTCATCGGTTCCCAATTGCGCAGATCGATGCTAATGTCGTTGATCACTGAATTGTCTGGTCCAGACCCGATTATTTACAGACCGCCGCCATATAGCTTGAATATTGCTGAGTGCGGCGTAAAACTAAACTGACTCACTCACTCACTCTCACTGATATCCTGTAGGTCTATTCATCCTACAAGCCTCTCTCACTACAAGTCTTCTCATGATGTCGTACATATTTATCGCACTATCCTACGGGGCCCTTTCATTACATGTCTACCTCACTGGTATCTCACAGGCCTATTTTACATATTTAATATTTTACATGTCTATCTCCCAACTGATATCCCAAAGATTTATCTCGTTTATACCCTACATATAAAAGTATATGTAAGTTATCAACATCGGTATGACGTCCAAAAAACAACGTCAAAACTGCGTATGGCATGCATTAAAAACAACGCCATGTTTGGTCATGTAAGCGACAAATATCATTCTATAACACCAGCTTAACCTGTAAATAGACAGAGCCTAGCGCACTGGAGACAATATAGAGACTCGTCAGTAAATGTCAGAGGGAGTCGGATTAGAGTATATATATATATATATATATATATATATATATATATATATATAGACTGTTGCCTTTGCTTTGTGTTCTGCATGTGACCAATTATTACTATTCTGGAGATGGAGAGTGGGAATATTATTTTTTAGCTTTGAAAACAGCAGCTTATGTCCAACGTGTCCTGTAATGAAACATTGGGAGTGTTTTTTCAGATTAAAACATTTATTCCAGTTTCCTTTAATAGACCTTTTTAAAGGGATATCAGATGAGCAGTACCAAAATATGAATTGGTATCTCTTTCGATTTCCAAATTAAAGTGAGTGAGTGAGTTGTTTTACGCAGCACTCAGCAATATTCCAGCTGAAGCGCGGCGGTCTGTAAATAATCGAGTCTGCACGAGACAATCCTGTGATCAACATCATGAGCATCGATCTACGCAAGTGGGATACGATGACGTGTGCCCTCTTACGACAAAAATGGGTTACTGAAGATCGATTCTAACCCGGATCTTCACGGGTTCCAAATTAAAACAATAATTCATCAAAGACATCTACCAGCAACAGAATACAGTTTATATAAACCAACAAGCAACAAGTTAACAACTCTTATACTAATAGCTAGGTTTACAAACCAATGCAAGTAACAGCAGAGTAATTACAATGGTAGTACACGATGTCGCAGGTGCATGACAATGGCGTCAGTATGTTTTCTTTGTATGTTGTTTAACGCCACACCGGGCGATATTCCAGCTGTATGGCGGCGGTCTGTAAATAATCACGTCTGGACCAGACAATCCAGCGATCAACATCATGAGCATCGACCTACGCAATTGGGAACAGATGACATGTGTCAACCGACTCAGCAAGCCTGACCACCCAATCCTGTTAGTCGCCTCTTACGACAAGCATGGATTGCTGAAGATCAATTGTAACCCGGATCTTCACAGAAATACACCAGCAGTGACAGGAACAACAGAGTCACCCACAGCAATATAACCTTGGAGGAACAGAGTCACCCACAGCAATATAACCTTGGAGGAACAGAGTCACCCACAGCAATATAACCTTGGAGGAACAGAGTCACCCACAGCAATATAACCTTGGAGGAACAGAGTCACCCACAGCAATATAACCTTGGAGGAACAGAGTCACCCACAGCAATATAACCTTGGAGGAACAGAGTCACCCATAGCAATATAACCTTGGAGGAAGAGAGTCACCCACAGCAATATAACCTTGGAGGAAGAGAGTCACCCACAGCAATATAACCTTGGAGGAACAGAGTCACCCACAGCAATATAACCTTGGAGGAACAGAGTCACCCATAGCAATATAACCTTGGAGGAAGAGAGTCACCCACAGCAATATAACCTTGGAGGAACAGAGTCACCCACAGCAATATAACCTTGGAGGAACAGAGTCACCCACAGCAATATAACCTTGGAGGAACAGAGTCACCCACAGCAATATAACCTTGGAGGAACAGAGTCACCCACAGCAATATGACCTTGGAGGAACAGAGTCACCCACAGCAATATGACCTTGGAGGAACAGAGTCACCCACAGCAATATAACCTTGGAGGAACAGAGTCACCCACAGCAATATAACCTTGGAGGAACAGAGTCACCCACAGCAATATAACCTTGGAGGAACAGGAGAGGAGGAAGAGAGTCACCCACAGCAATATAACCTTGGAGGAACAGAGTCACCCACAGCAATATAACCTTGGAGGAACAGAGTCACCCACAGCAATATAACCTTGGAGGAACAGAGTCACCCACAGCAAAATAACCTTGGAGGAACAGAGTCACCCACAGCAATATAACCTTGGAGGAACAGTGGGGGAACCTCCAGAATTGGCCTCGGCTGGATACCCGTGCAGTGTCATCTTCAAACAAAAGCTGGTAATCATGTAATACATGGTGAGAGAGGCATGAGCTTGCTTACTTAAATGAAGAAAATATCAAGCTAGATTTGTGATTTGTGATTTCCCTTCACACTCGACTCTGGAAGCAACCAAATATAGTAACTTCCACACCACTGCTTACGTTAGATAATATAATATTCCTGTCAACTAACTATTGTTAGCGCACAATGCTATGAGGTTCTGCTGATTCATACCAGTAGTGCTGCCACGTAACACTGTCAGTCTCCCACGTAACACTGTCAGTCTCCCACATGACTTTGTGACGAACGTTTACGTAAGACAAGGAATGACGTTTCGTAACAGATAATATGTTATTCTGGTACGTGCCATTCATAAGTCAAAATGACAACAGGACTTCTCTGGAATAATCCATCGATAACTGTTATTAACAACAAATGGCTTGAAGAGTTGTGTGGTGTGTAAGAATGTTTCATTAGACTGATCGCTAGTCATCATTCCATTATCTCCCAACAGACACACCGAGATGGTGTGAGTGAGATTCATTGCCCATCGCCCTGTCTGTAACAGGGGATATTAAATCTGATGACGATATCCACCACTGTTGATTGTAAACGATTAGTGTTATTCCCAGTAAACAAGTACATGTTTATATGTCACCCTCTATTCCTGCCCTCGGTAAGCAAGTACCTGTCTCGGTCTCCCCTACCCCAGTCTTCAATACACAAGTACCCGTCTATATATGTCCCCTCTACCCAAGCCCTCAAATAAACAAGTACCCGTCTACGTTCCCTCTATCCCAGCCCTCGAGTAAACAAGTATCCGTCTATGTCCCCTCTACCCCTACTCCCAATAAACACGTACCCGTCTATGTCCCTTCTACCCCAGTCCTTAATAAACAAGTACCCGTCTATGTCCCCTCTACCCCAGCCCTCAATAAACAAGTACCCGTCTATGTCCCCTCTACCCCAGCCCTCAATAAACAAGTACCCGTCTATGTCTCCTCTACCCCAGTCCTTAATAAACAAGTACCTCTATGTCCCCTCTACCCCAGCCCTCAAGTAAACAAGTATCCGTTTATGTCCCCTCTACCCCTACTCCCAATAAACACGTACCCGTCTATGTCCCCTCTACCCAAGTCCTCAATAAACAAGTACCAATCTATGTCCCGTCTACCCCAGTCCTTAATAAACAAGTACCAATCTATGTCCCCTCTACCCCAGTCCTCAATAAACAAGTACCAATCTATGTCCCGTCTACCCCAGTCCTTAATAAACAAGTACCCGTCTATGTCTCCTCTACCCCAGTCCTTAATAAACAAGTACCAATCTATGTCCCCTCTACCCCAGTCCTTAATAAACAAGCACCCGTCTATGTCTCCTCTACCCCAGCCCTCAATAAACAAGTACCCGTCTATGTCCCGTCTACCCCAGTCCTTAATAAACAGGTACCCGTCTATGTCCCCTCTACCCCAGTCCTTAATAAACAAGTACCCGTCTATATATGTCCCCTCTACCCCAGTCCTTAATAAACAAGTACCCCTCTATGTCCCGTCTACCCCAGCCCTCAATAAACAAGTACCAATCTATGTCCCTCTACCCCAGTCCTTAATAAACAAGTACCAATCTATGTCCCCTCTACCCCAGCCCTCAATAAACAAGTACCCGTCTATGTCCCCTCTACCCCAGTCCTTAATAAACAAGTACCAATCTATGTCCCCTCTACCCCAGTCCTCAATAAACAAGTACCAATCTATGTCCCCTCTACCCCAGTCCTTAATAAACAAGTTCCCGTCTATGTCTCCTCTACCCCAGCCCTCAATAAACAAGTACCAATCTATGTCCCCTCTACCCCAGCCCTCAATAAACAAGTACCCGTCTATGTCCCCTCTACCCCAGTCCTTAATAAACAAGTACCCGTCTATGTCCCCTCTACCCCAGTCCTTAATAAACAAGTACCCGTCTATGTCCCCTCTACCCCAGTCCTTAATAAACAAGTACCCCTCTATGTCCCCTCTACCCCAGTCCTTAATAAACAAGTACCCGTCAATGTCCCTCTACCCCAGCCCTCAATAAACAAGTACCCGTCTATGTCCCCTCTACCCCAGTCCTTAATAAACAAGTACCAATCTATGTCCCGTCTACCCCAGTACAATAATAAAAAAGTACCCGTCTATGTCCCCTCTACCCCAGTCCTTAATAAACAAGTACCCGTCTATGTCCCCTCTACCCCTGCCCTCAATAAACAAGTACCCGTCTATGTCCCGTCTACCCCAGCCCTCAATAAACAAGTACACATCTATGTCCCCTCTACCCCAGCCCTCAGTAACAAGTACCCGTCTATGTCCCCTCTACCGAGTCCTAAAAAATCAAATTCCTGTCTGTGTCCCCACCTCACCTACAGTCTGACTGACTACACATTTACATGCTCATTGTGTTCACCCACTCCCTATTTACCTGCACAAGGTGTTCAACCAGTACTCATTTGTCTGCTCATGGTGTTCACAAACTACGTATTTACCTGTTCATGGGGTTCAACCACTGTTCAGTTACCTGTTGGTGGTGTTCAACCACTAGTTATTTACCTGTTGATGGTGTTCACCAACTACACATTTACCTGCTCGTGGTGTTCACCCACTGCCCATTTACCTGCTTATGGTGTTCACTGACAACACATTTACCTGTTGATGGCATATACCCACTGCCCCCAACGAGTTTTACCCTCGTTATACCTACTGATCAAAGACTCCCCGTCACAGGTGTAACCACACGGTTATTGCCCGACATTACAGAGCGTGGTGCTTGCTCCATATGTAATCTCCATCAGCGCCTGGCTCACATCCTCATCCCTCAGCCGTCTATCATGTTTGCTGAAGCAGACTTGTTTCTTGCACCGACTCCTCAAGAGCGTTGACATCACAAGGCTGAGGAAGGCATTGAATGGCCGCTTCAGTCACCTACACCTCATGAGACTCGGTCTCATTTACGCCTTGCTCCCGCTGGGATATTGTCGTGTGACCTGTCCCGAATTGATACCCTTATCCAAGCCAGGATCCGCAGATCGTTAGTTTGAATCCCATGTTCGAAACAATTATTTGGTTTCTCGGTACCATTAAATGTGTTTGTTGGTTGAACCAAAGTCATGAAGGTCTGCAAATATGATTCACCTAACGCATTAATTCATCATCACTCGGGCGGAGGGTAGCCTAGTGGTTAAAGCGTTGGCTCGTCACGCCGAAGACCCGGGTTCGATTCCCCACATGGGCACAATGTGTGAAGCCCAATTCTGGTGTCCCCTGCCGTGATATTGCTGGAATATTGCTAAAAGCGGCGTAAAACTAAACTCAGTCAGACTCAGTCATCATCACTAAAATATGTTGACTGCGTTGACACAACACACTCACATGCCCTGATCATATTAATATTAATGCCATTGTGTCTGTCTATAGAGCTTATCATTTATGGAAGAAATATATCGGAGACACGGGAGATTCAGACTTCCCCGCTGGTTGTTTAAACAGACACAGCATGACATAACGGCAGGCTTCCCCTTCTGCGTGTGTGCGACCTTAAATCTGTCCACGCGCGAGGTCCAAACTACATCCGTCTTGTTGTCATGATTCAACGATTATAAGCTTCCGAACGCATCACCATCACATAACGTATTTATCTGCTAACTATGTTTGCATTTTGAAGTTGAATAGTAATAATAAAGGCAAGATGCTTTATGGATGCTATCTTGTTTATTACATTTGATGTGACTGTTCGATATATATTCTTATACCGCTGTCAGAGCAACATATGTAATAAAGAAGTTGTCTTCTACTTTGTCTTTACCAATTAAAATGCCTGTAGGACGCGAGTTCTCCTGCACTCACGTCCCGGGTTTTCTAGTGCAGAGGTGATTCACGAACCATAAGAGTGGTCACAGATAAGAATTAGGTGACAGTTCAGTGTTCTAAGAAATAGAGTAAAGATCAACCTTGAACGATTGCTTGTGCCAACTTGTCCGCTCATTAGCATCAGTTTATTGAGTCCAGGTTGGACTTTAACCCCGCGGTCAGTCTGACAGCATGATACAGTCCTGGCTATCAGCAGCCGCCTCCAGAACAATGGTGGCAGTGATGGCGTGGAGCTTGACCACACTGGGTCAGCGGTCGTACATCATCTCTTGATGGCCTGGTCGGATCAAACATCGATAGCGGGACATCAAAACATGGTGAAGTCATCGAGGCTTAAATGGAGTCGTGATTTGATTAGAGAACAAGTGATCTGAAATACATTTACATATCTATGATCTACAACATTGGGGGCAAGGTTGGCTGGTCACTCCGAACATTCCATTCTCAACGTGATACATTTTGTAGGGTGTATTATCGATGTCAGCAGCCGTGGATGATTATATTTTATATCTGAGAGCTCTAACTTTCTAATGTATTTCTTATGTAGGCTGCACTTTACATTCCCTAAACATCCATTGGGCAAGAAAGTACGATTTGGTTTCCTTGGCTTACGGTCCGGACGTTACAGCATTAGACGCACTAGTTTCAGTGATTACAATTGCTGCTTGATCGTTCGTTCATTTCTTTCTTTAAGGAATAGTTCAGCTATATGACGCTGTCTGTCAATTATAAAATTTGAGTCTGGATCAGCCAATCCACTGCTCATGATAACAATTAGACATCCACAAGTGTCCATGGCAATTATTTTGTTAAAATCATAATTTTTAGATTTTAAAATAACAAATCAAGTTATCTCTTTAAGAGACTGGCCTCTTTACATCTAGAGTTGCCCGTTTACACACAATGGCTACACATCCATGGACATATCATTCAGTACAACCTTAGATATCAGTCTACACAACTGGGATATCATGGCACCCGATCCCGACACTCGCCTCTATACATGAGTTGCTGAAGACCAATTCTAACCCGGATCTGTACAGGGCCAAAGCCTCCGTGGTGTAGTGGTTAGAGCGTCCGCCCGGAGTGCGAAAGGTCGCGGGTTCGATCCCCGCCGCGTCATACCAAAAGACGTTAAATTATGGTACTCGTTGATCCCTGCCTGGCGCTCGGCATTAATGGGTATAACAAGGACTGGTCGGCTCGGAGTCAGTATAATGTGTCTGAGTGGGGTATTCATGCTTCACTGCGGCATGGTATCTCAGTGAGCTGACACTATAAAACCAACTTAAGTCTGGGCTAGTGCAAGCAGCCACACATACACACGCATGCACGTCGTCATATGAGCGAAATAATCTTACGTACAGGGCCAAAGGGTGCAAGCATGCATATCGTAACAGGTTTTCTTCTACATCGAATGGATACTCCCTACAAGTGCCAGCATGGAACCACTCAGTTTGCATGACCTTTCAAACGAGCTAAGAATCTAGCGGCCTGGCCCCGATACAAGGGGAGACTATCAAGCTGTGATCTGCACTTGACAACACTTCTCGTTAATCAATTTGTAGACGATGTTCCTCATCAGTCAAGGTTGAAATTGGAGGCATGTTAGGACGTAGTCGGGAGTGCTGCACCAGACGCTGCTAATTACCAGGTCAGCGCTGTCACTGTCCCGACAGCCATGGCCAGTTGCCTTTGATTGTTAAGTCAAAATCTCATAATCTTCCGATTTCTAGTATTTATTTCCAAATACATCACACACGAAAAGGGTGGGGTGGTTGGGTTTAACGCCGATTGGAACAGCATTCAACTTATAGCACCTCATGACAACTTAATATTGTAGGTGAGCCCGAGGTGATGCTGGTCTCAGACGTTTAATACGTTGATGGATCCCCCGAGCACCGGATGAACCCAGAACATTATCAAGAAAGTTGTCAACCGCACCAAAGATGGCAGAGTTTTGGCAGGTCTAAGAGGCGCAACTGTGCACAACGACTTACGGTGCGTTCAGCTAGGCAACAACACCTTCACGTGTAAAGAGGTTAAAGCGTTCGCTCGTCACGCCGAACACCCTGGTTCGATTCCCCCGCCGTAATATTGCTAAAATATTGCTAAAAGCAGCATAAAACAACTCAATCACTCACGCACGTGTAAAGAAACATTAGAATGACACGGTGGGGTGAAAAACGCTACAGTCAGCAATATTCCAGCTGCAACATGGCGGTATGTAAATAATCGATTATCGATTATTAAACCCGTGATTGATATTATGAACAGCCTCCTGGATGACGAGCAATTAGCCAAGCCTGACCACCGATCCATTTTTGTCGCCTCGTACGACTCGACCTTGTAGATCTGGTTCAAGGTGAAGGCCAACGTAACACCACTCCATCCGTCTGTGTAATCATATTTGTCACTGCTTAGAGAAGTATTGTAATGGAGGGAAGGTGGGGCCGCCTAGTGGTTAAAGTGTTCGCTCGAGAGACCTGGGTTTGATTCCCCAAATGGGTACAATGTGTGAAGTCCATTTATGGTGTCCCCCGTCGTGATATTGCTGGAATATTGCTAAACGCGGCGTAAAATCATATTCACTCACTATTGAATGAAAAATCGGTTTCAATGAGTCTGGATGAGCGTAAATACAAATCGCACCATGGAAACTATGACCTCAGCTTGATCAAGGGGAAAAGATGCATTTCACAATTACCCTGAGTATACGTTAACGACATTCGCTTGGCATACGGAATATTAAATCCATCTTGATATCAGGTATACACTGAGATTGAAAGTTGATTTACTCCACAAACAACAACATTCTTGAAATGGCTGCCAGAAATAAAAGAAACAAGGGTGATGTATTTGATATCGGCATCACAGGCGATATAACATGTATCCAATTAGTGAGCATTATGACAGTTGACGTAAGCATGACGTCATATGGAATAACGTCATGAGTTAAGAAGGCATTATCGGATATACGTTTTCATTTATCCAGCAGTGTAATTTGATCAGTGTACCAGGACACGATGCAGCGATACCACACTGTGGCCAACAGGTGGCAGTGTTGAGTTCTGTTGACCTGGTATCAGCCGTGAGTTAATGCAACATTCTGTGTAACCAACAGTCGTTGTTTTTCAGATAGATGAAAACAACATTGTTTTCTGTGCTATGTTCGTGTTACAATCACTACAACACAATGGTTGTGGTTACGTATATGGTGGGTGGTTGACGGGATTGTCTCAACCAGCTGTATCACGTGTGGAGGCGTGTGTGTGCACGTGCTGCTGTTTACACGAGATTACCGGTATCAGTGGTTTGGCTTTCTTGCTATTTAAAGTCAGATCCTGCACCCGGGGTCAGTGCATTCAGTACTGAAAACTTGACATTTCTTGTAATATACGGCATGTTTGTTTGTTTTACAACATGTTTATTGAGAGAACGATATTCTTGTGATACGCTTTGAAACCTTGTTTGTTCGCACGCTGGGCCGGTTTGGAAACTCCGGGGCAGAATTGGTCTTCAGCAACCCATGCTTGTCGTAAGAGACGACTAACGGATCGGGCTTGCTGACTTGGTTGACACATGCCATCGCAGATCGATGTTCATGCTGTTGATCAGATAACAATAACAATCATAGTGTACATAAGTGTGTTGGAATTAATTCAAGATATCTTCAATTCAATTCAAGATATCTTGAAATAATTTATACACATCCACAAATGTATACATATATCTTTAACTCATTTAGAGATATTTTTAATTCAATTAGACATATCTTCAATTGTGGACGTTATTGATTTCTAAAAACATTAAAGATATCAATACTAAGTTTGAAGATATCTTCAAATCACTTATTGATATATATAATACAAATAAGAGGAAAGAACGGCAAAAAT